ACTGCAGTGTCCCCTCCAAGGCATACTCCATCCTGACTTGGGACTAATGATGTTCCTTCACTGTCACTGCACCTAAATCCTAGAAAACCCACCCTGTCACAACGGGGTGTACCTATGCCAGTCAAACTGCACTAATTCAAGAAGCAAGCTCACAACCATCACCTTCCCAAAGAGGAATAGAATTGGACCTTGCAGTAATGCTCACATTGCGGAAATGGATTATAAAAACATCCATGTCCCTGTTGTGCTGTCTCCTCCCCAGTATAGCATTGAAAGAGCAGATGGGTAGAAAGCATCAGTGGGATAGGAAGGCTGCGATAAACTAGACTCACAGTAACAAACACACAACTCATGATGCAATTTTTATTCTTGGCTGAGAAACTAAGTCAGTACAGTCATCATTGGCTGTGACCACAACTACAAGCAGATAGAAGCACGAAATCCCAGACAGGATCCATGGAGCAGTTATGGATTCTTTCAGTTACAGCAGCAACTTGGCAGTTTATAGGAGCACAGGAAACACAATTGCGAATTGCAAGGCAGATCGTTCCAATTAAATGTAGTCGCTGGAGGAAAGAGAGAAGAATTCAGTAAACTATTTGTATGGTTGGTCAATTCCCTGTTTTTGAGAGTATTAAGTGATCTTGTCTTTCTCCCCATTGCTTTATTTTGCTGGCTCAGCCACAATGAGAAAAAAAATCACATTAAGCTTGCTGTATTGAAAGATCAATTGGTTGGATGATGTCTTCATTGTTCTTTTCGGTGTTCTCTGAAGGGATGTGTGTTGACATTAAATATTGTAAGTTTTGACACTGTATCTGGCTGAAGTTCTGATTTGAAACAAACTAGATGTGTGATGACCGTTTGTCAATAGACCACAGGGTCATGCGGTATAAATGTCATTTGGTTCATTAAACAACACAAACGCTGTAAGAAAATTGTTTCCATGAACAACCTGAACAAACCGGCTTGAGATCAAACATCAGCCTCTTTCCAGAGAAAAAAAGCACTTATCTTAATGAATGGAAGATGAACTGCTGCGTTAAACATTGCAAAGTTTGCCAATGATCAATCACTGAAAAAAAAGGATACTGTCAATGTTTGATCACACTGGGCTGTTTACAAGAAAATGGAGGATAACAGAATGTGACCCAGGGTGATTGCAAGTTAGCTCAGGAATAGGATAATCAGGTGTGGAGCTGGCCTGCTGTGTTCATCCAGCTCTACACCTTGTTATCTCAGACTCCAGCATCGGCAGTTCCAACTATCTCTCAGGAACAGGAGATGTCTGGAGCAGGCTGATCACATGTTACAGTCCGATCTGGAGTGGTTTCTTCAAAAAGGAATTTGAAACTTCACTGTGGGAATTGAAGGTTTTTTTCAAAAGCAAGGCTTGCTGTCAATCACATGATTGGGTAAGGAGTGTTACTTTGCTGTAGACCCCCTGCTGGGGCTGTTTTTGATCAATTACTGGCTTGGGTGAATCCGTGTTTATCTGTTTCAGTTGGAGAGAAGGCTGCCTTGGACCACTTACCCAGCTGATTGCTGCAATTTCTAAAGAAAACCATCATTTTGAATTCAGGGTGGAACAATCAGCCACAGGAGGAGAAGTGGGCCATTCAGCCCATCAAGGCTTCTCCATTATTCAATGACATCATGGCTGATCTCACAATCCGCAACTCCACTATCCTGCCTATTCCCCATAATCCTTGATTCCATTCCTAATTCTAAACCCATATGGGTTTGTACCAGTATAAGAGATTGCCATTCGGGGTATCATCAGCCTGTGCAATGTTTCTGCAGGTAATGGAGAACATTTTGCATGGTCTATGCCAGGTCGCCACTTAATTAGAAGACAGACTAATAAGAGGGAATACTAATGAGGAACACTTAGAGAGATTGCATATCGTCCTTACAAGTTTTTGGCGAGGTGAGCATAGACATTAGAAGGGAAACTTGTGTTCCAAGCCACTCCCAAGTGACCTACTTGAGGTACAGAGTTGACAAGACTGGGTTACACCCATTGGAAGATAAAGTGAAGGTCATCAAAAGTGCCCAGGCTCCCACATCTGTCCAGGAGCTCAGGTCATTTCTTGGGCTGGTAAATTATTATGGAATGTTCACACATAACCTGGCATCCATCCTGGTACCTTTGCATCAACTCCTAACAAAGGGTCAGCCTTGGAAATTGTTTCAGACAATCCCTAGCTTTCAATGAAATAAGAAACAGCTGGCATCTTCTAAGGTGTTGGCACATTATGATCCCAAGAAAGATCTTGTATTGGTATGTGATGTCTCCCCATATGGCATTTGGGTGGTATTAGCTCATAGGTCGCTCAGTGAACAGGAATACCCAATAGCCTTTGCATCCAGGACTTTGGCTCCTTTAGAGATTAAATATACCCAGCTTGAAAAGAAGCAAATTTGGAGTAAAAAAGTTACCTTTATGGGTGAAAATCCATGATCATCACGGACAGCAAACCCCTACTTGGCCTGCTTAAAGAGGACAAGGCAGTGCCGCCCATGGCTTTGGGCCACATCCAGCATTGGGCTCTAAAACTAAGTACTTATAATTATAAGCTAGAACACTGTTCAGAAGGCTGATTAGCAAATGCGGATGCATTGAGCTGTCTCCCAATATCAGATACACCACTGTAATGATATTAAATTTTCTGGACATGCCCTTGGTAACAGCCTACTGAATAAGACTTTGGACACAGAAAAATCAAGTCCTTTCCAAACTGAAACAACTAGTATTAATGGGGAAAACCAAAGGGCCAACATTAGAATTGAAAGCTTTTTGGACCTGGAGAGATGACTCATGGTAGAGGACAGCATATTATTACATGGAGCAAGAGTGATTGTCCTGTGCACAGGTCATGGTCAAATACTGGTTGAACTCCACCAAGGCCATCCAAGGGTCTCCAAAATGAAGATCTTGGTGAGAAGTTATATCTGGTGGCCAGGATTGGATGCAGACATAGCTACATTGGTGGGGCAGTGCCCAGAGTGCCAACAAGTAGAAGTAACGCCAGCAGCTGCTCCACATCTTTAGGAATGGCCAGGTAAACCTTGGGCTCGGTTTCATATTGACGGCACAGGTCTTTTCATGGGTTCAATGTTCTTAGTCATTGTAGGTGCCCACTCAAAGTGATTGGACATGCATAGGGTCCATTCATCAAACATGGGAACAATGACAGAAAAACTGTGCTCACCTTTTAAACATATAGAGTCCAGAAATGTTAGTCACAGATAACAGGACATTATTTACTTGCAGGGAATTTAGTTGTTTCTTCAAGTCGAATGTGATTCGACATATAAGGACAGCTCCACACCACCCCTCATTCCATGGCCTGGCAGAAAGTGCTGCCCAAACTTTGAAGGCTGCATTGAAGAAACTGCGTATAGTCTCGATAGATACCAAGCTGTTACGGTTCCTGCTAGATTGTAGGACCACGCCACATGCAACACAAGGACAGCACCAGCAGAGTCACGAATGGGTAAATTCTTCCCAAAGCCAGGGGAGAGTGAAATGGCATCAGGAATTATAATGCCACATCCAAGACTCTGCCAAGCGAGAAGACAGTTTGATACAGGGGATGAAGCTTGGTGGAAGAATCATGTAAATGGCCCCGCATCTCAAAGAGGCATGGTCGAATGGAGGTCAGGACCAGTAATGTATAAAATTCCACGTGTAACGGTTCTGACTAAGCATGTGGACCATATGAAAGCTGCAATTTGTCAACAGTGCTAGAGTAAAATATGCCCTGTCCCTCAGTACTTTCGGGAAATGCTACTGGAACCCATGTATTCACCCTCACCGTCAAGTATCCTTCAGTCGTCCGAATCAGAGATAGACCTAATTGAAGTAGCCACTTTGATGTCTCTGCCACAAAAAGAAGGGAGTGAAATTCTACCGAGGCACTCCTGGTGCAAAAGGAAAGCTCCTGCAAGTTACACACTTCCCCATGTTGATGCTGAGTCAGAGCAACCTGACCTGGTGCTGGAACACCTCAGGAGGATTTCCAAGAAAAAGGATCAGCCTATGTCCTCGGACTCAGAGGGGAAGGGATGTAGTGATTATAATGAAGTCAGCCAGGTGGATCTCACAGAAAATCTGGTCCGATTAGGGAGCCCTGGCTGACACATACAAAGGGGAGTGTCAGAGATACTGTCACTTTGGTACCTCTCTTTTTAAGAGCAGTACTATAGTTAAGGACTGTTCGTGTGTAAATAAAGGGTGACTTGGTGATGGAATACCAGCGTCTCTAGAATTATTTCACTTCAGACACTACTATGAGCGATTAGTGACTTGACAGTCGCCAGAATATCAGCACAACAGACATCAAGAAGAAAGGAACATTTTCTGAAAGCCAACTATTACAGAAAAAGTTGGTCTTTCTTTCTCTTTTCCTGAACTGTGCGTGTGTTTATGTTCTGGAGATATTTCAAGGCATAATACAATTTTATACTTCTACATCACCGACTATGTTAAATTGATTAGTCCTTCATTCAATAAGTTCTGTTGATAATAAATCAATAAACTATGTTTATTAAGAAACCTGATTGATAGATCTTGGTGTTTAAAACCTGATGTAGATATGGCTTTCAATTGATCATCTTGGTAAAATCAATATAATCTTTCCGGTTGTGTTGTGACCCGTGGAATAGTGAGTGTGGAATGACAGTAGCCTGGGTCATAAGAAATCCAACTAAATGGAGTCCGGTTAGAATCTCACCCATTGATCTATTTCCCTTTCCCCTAGACATTCGGTAGCATTGACTTACCAGTTAAATGCACACAGTCTTCTGCACCACGAGAGTTATCAGGTTGCCCCGTGGCCCAGTTCACAAAATTTGACGAAGATCCATCTGTCCAGAGGTAAGTCCCCTCCTGTGGAGATATCAACTCATACCATTTAAAAGTAAATAATTTATTTCCCCGAAATAATGTGATGGAACAAATCAAGAAATGTTACCTTGTAGATATCATTCAAGCCAATCCAAAGAGGAGTCCTTACAGGTAAACTCTTGCGAATAATTTGATTCTGCGCCTCACAGTGAATGGAAGCAAGATGGCCCTCAGGACCCAGTGTTTGGCAATACAACTTGAAATGATTTAAACAAGACAATTTATTGCTGGTTACATTTTTACATTGAACATATTCAATTGTGTTGCTCCAACATGTTTAATGTTCAAAATTTGCTGCATTGCAGAATATGAACAATAAAATTACAACCTCCTGTCGCATATTTGCAAGGAGCTGCTATGGGCCGACTCCAAGTTTCAGTGAACAGTGCCACATTGAGGCCGATTATTTGGGACAAATTTCATTGTGGCTTCAAATTGTCAGATTGAAATGTCAGTAGCTTCTGTGCAACAGCTGATATTGGGCTGGGTTTGTGGTCGAACACTGTGTGGGTTATATTGTGTTTCCTGTTCTCCCCAAGTTTTATCTGTACACAGCTGTCAATACAGATGTGGGTAGTCACTGCACTCCACGTCACTGTGCAGCGAACACATCAACAGCAACAAATTTCTCATAATGACAGACCACAGCACATAACTGCTTGTCGACTTTAGAACACAGTCTTAGGAGATCATGTGACTCAACAACAGGTTCTTCAGAATTTGACAGATTGTTGCTGTAGGCATTGAAAAGTCACACAATGAGTGGGTCTGGTTCAAGCTCGAATGTACAGACAATGGGTGACGGAGATGGGCGGAATCTTGTCAGGGCCTGAACAACATGGGATATGGTGAGAGATGTGGCAGAATGATGTGACAGGCCAAGCAAGGCCTATCTCATCATCAGGAACAACTCTCTGCAACTTTGAACAACTCTCTCGGCAATGAGGTGAGATTCTCACTAGCTGGTGGTAAGTTGCCTGTTAAGGTGGAATAATCTTTGTTAACTGCACATCTTGCCTCATTAATATGCAGCTTTCCTCCTACTACCTGCCAGGAGCAAACGAGATGCTGAAAATTCAGAGAATGGAGAACGAGTACCAGACAACTTCAACGCACTGCTTGCTCCATTAGGACCTTCACGTTGGACATCAGGCTCAAATATCTCCTGGCATACTCCATGGGCACCAGGTCACATGCTCCCCATGTGCACAGATACTGGCATCTGGCATGTGCCAGCCTCTAAAATCCCTCATGACACATCTCCAATCCACTTACGTTGTGTTTCTGCCTTTCATCGCTGCACATTGGCATTGAGCAACAGATAGGCACAGCATTCCTGCCTTGTCCCTCTGGCAGAGATCCCAGGCTCACAGTAACGCAGTATTGCCGTGCTGTTTCATACAGCCTCACAGCTGGGAAGTTTTGTCATGGTGTGATCAGTTCTCAGTCAGGTCCAAGGAGGCGGCCTTCACTCAGGGGGTCCCAGCACAGTAAGGCAAGGGCAGCCTCCTATACCAGGCCAGGGGCTTGGACATGGCCAATTAGCTGCTTGGGGCAGTCAGAGTCAGGATGATCAGAGCGGGATATTGGGCATCCCATCACCCGTCCTGACTCTCTCTGCCCTAGTGTGAGCTGTTGCGGTCTGTAATGAGAGAGCATCAGGAATTAAGGGAGATGGAAGTGAATGGCACAGCTGCTACTTTTGGTGCAGGTACGAAGGGTTCCCTGAGCGAGTGAGTTGGTAGCACCTGAGGGTTTGCAGGGCCAATGGTGTCAGGGGATGGAGTAGGTGAAAGTGATCGAGGGAAGATGTTACATGACTGAGAGTGAGAGTATGAGCCTTGGTGGGACCTGGGTACGGGGTGGAGAATGAGTGTGAGGTATTGGAGAGAAGACAGTGGCACTTACCCTGGCAGGGTGGAGAAGACCATTGTCCTCTCTCCAACATTGCTGGGCATTCCTGCAGATGGCAAGGAGTCCCTGACCTTATTGCCTACATTGGAGCATGCTGGGAAGGTGTGGTTTCATAGCTTCCACTGCCAGTGCTGGGGGTAGTTGACATCCCAACACTGCACCATTCCACCACCAGGATCTCCAGGTCCCTGTCTGCAAAGGGGTGGTGCCAAATTTCCCTTTTCTGCCGTGCCCCAGGGCAACAGATCTCACTCAGCTTCAATGAGAGAAACCCTCTGTGAGACTCAATGGAACTGACTCTTAGCCAACAAACATAAGATTCAGCCTGAGAGGTGGGAATGCAGATTGAAAACGAATGTGGAAATTGGAAGGATATTTATTCCCTGGAATGAGGACTCTGTGCTGGAATGCATTACGAATTATTGCATTTAATTTGTACCAATACCAAGAATTCTGAAGAATGTCACCTTCAGGATATACACAGTTTTAAGGATGCTGCTGTTGACAGTATCAAAAGCAAATCAAAATCCTGTCCAATAATAGTGGAAAGGCACGTTGCTAGATTTTCAATCAGTCACTCAGAATAATGTGAGGGTCACTGATGGAGTTTGAAGGTGAGTTAGAAAAGATGGGGAACATGGGAGACAGACAGTAATAGAAACCAACTCTACTTTAGCAGTGCTGCAACCATGTGCACTGCAGGAAGGCAGCTCAACTACACAGGATCTGTGTCGGAGACTCCATAAGACAGTCTGTGCTATTGGATCAAACGGAGGGAAAAGTTCAGGAACTAGCAGGCATCCAAGAGTCTGATTCAGGGGGAATCTAGGGAATGAGGAAGTTGCTGACTCTGTGATGGGGCCCAGGAGAAGCCCATGAGCATGAATACTTTAATTCAGCTGAGAGCACTGGGATTGAAAAGCTCACAAGCGGTGTTTGCAGGATACAATTGAGCAAAATTGGTTTTGGGGTGGGGTGTGGTCAATCCCAAAGTAAGACGAGCTTGGTGATCTTAGGTATCACTGAGAGCTGGGGTTATGCTGAAACTGAGTACTGGAGTGCAGATTTGGAGTGTCAGGGAGCTTACACCACAGAAAGGACAGGGGTATCGACCAGAATGGGTGCACTCATTGACTGAGACGAAGGAGGAAAATAAGGTCACACTCCCTCCCCATTCATGCAATGCACAATGATGTATGAGAGTTTAAAACTGAGCCCTAAGATATGCTATACCATTGCAATGGATTGCTATACCGGAATTTGTTCATCATCATATTTCCTTTATCTACGCTTCAGTGTTTTCCCATTGTAAAATTTGCCTTCAATGAGAATATAGAAGGCATGGTTAGTTGGTTTGCAGACCACACCAAAATAGTAGACAGTGAAGAAGGTTTTCTAAGATTACAAAGGAACCTCGATCTAATGGATCAATAGTCTGAAAAACAGCAGATGGAGTTCAATCCAGATAAATGGAAAATATTGCATTTTAGTACAACAAACAGGGGCAGGTTTTATACAATTCATGGTCAGGCCTTGGGTAGTATTGTTGAACAGAGGGACCGAGGGTTCAGGTACATAATTCTTTGAAGTTTGCATTGCATACTGACAGGGTGGTTAAAAAGGCATTGAACATGTTTGCCTTCATTGCTCAGTCCTTTGAGTATAGGAGTTGGGAAGTCATGTTGAGTTTGTACAGGACATTGGTGAGGTCTCTTCTGGAGTATTGTGTCCTGTTCTGGTTGCCCTGTTATAGGAAGGATATTATTAAGCCAGAGAGGGTCACAAGAGATTTACCAGGATGTTGCCAGGTATGGAAGGTTTGAGTTATAAGGAAAGACTGGATAGGCTGGGACTGTATCCACTGGAATGTAGGAGGTTGAGAGGTGACCTTATAGAAGGTTATAAAATCATGGGGGTATGGATAGTGTTAATGGTAGGTGCCTTTTTCTTAGTATGGGGGATTTCAAGACTATGGGGGCATACTTTTAAGATGAGAGGAGAGAGATTTTAAAAAGACATGACTGGAAAATTTTTATAAAGAGGGTGGTTCGCGTATGGAAAGAACTTGCTGAGGAAGTGGTGGATGAGGGCACACTTACAGCATTTAAAAGACATTAGGGTAAGTACATGGATAGTAAAGATTTGGAGGGATATGGGCCAGGAGCGGGCAGGTGGGATTAGTTTAGTCTGGGATTATGATCGGCCTGGACTGGTTGGGCCAAATGGTCTGTTTCATGCTTATGACTCCATTTACCATTTCAGATCATTAGTGTATACAGCATATTTATGACATTTCCAAAAACAATGCTAAAATTAAAATATCATGGCTATCCTAACCATGCAATACTCGAAATAAACCATCTCACTCCATTTATCTGCTAAAGCTCCAAGTGGATGTACAATGTTTCTTTTCAAACAAACATAGAACAGGACAGGATAGCACAGGAACAGGCCCTTTAGCCTACCATTTCTGTGATGACCATGACACCATTCTAAACTAATCCCATCTGCCTGCACATGCTACATCTCCCTTTATTCCCTGCCTGTCCATGTGTCTCTCTAAATACCTCTTCAACATATCTGCATCGACCATTTTCCCCAGCAGTGCATACTTGCTGCCCACCCCCTTCTGTGTAAAAAAACCTGCATCACACATATCCTTTAAACTTCCACTCCCCCCTCTCCTACATTAAACATATGCCACCCAGTATCTGGCATTTTCTCCCTGAGAAAAAGATATCCAACCTACCCATGCTTCCCATTAATTTATAAACTTCTGTCAAGGTCACCTCTCAGCCTCCAACGTTCTAGTGAAAACAATCCAAGTTTTTCTCTCTTTATAGCTAATACACTCCAATGCAGTAACATCCTGGTAAACTTCTTTTGCACACTTTCCAGAGCCTCCCCAACCATCCTATGGTGTGGTAACCAGAACCAAACACAATTAATCAAATATGGTCAAACTAATGTTTTATTCAGCTGCTCCGTGACTTGACAACTTTTCTCCTCAATGCCCCCACTGATGAGGGTACCCATACTGTACACCATCTTTACCGCCTTCTCCACCTGTCACAGTCTCATAAAGAACGGGAACAGACCCTTCGGTCCAACTTGTCTGCACGCACCAGACATCCCAATCTGATCTAGTCCCATTTGTCAGCATTTGGCCCATATTCTTTTAAAACCTTCCTATTCAGATACCCATCCAGATGCCTTTTCAATGTTGTAAATGTACCTTTCTCCACCACTTCCTCTGGCAGCTTGTTCCATACACAAATTTTCTTTGCAAGGAAAAGTTACCCTTTTTAAATATTTCCCCTCTCACCCTAAACTTTTGCCCTCTAGTTCTGGACTCCCCCACCCTGGGGAAAAGACCTTGGCTATTCATCCAATCCATGCCCAATCCATGTTCCAGGGATAAACGCCCCAACCTATTCAGCCTCTTCCTATAATGCCAACTCACCAGACCTAACAACATCCTTGTAAATTCTTTCTGCACCCACTCAAGTTTACCAGCACACTTCCTACAGAAGGGTGACCAGAAACCTTATGCCACGTGCAGTGATTCCTGGACTTGCACCCCAAAGTCCTTCTGTATGTCAACATTTATAATGGGCCTGCCATGTACTGTATACTTACCTCTTGCATTTGGCCTCCCAAAATGCATCACCTCACACTTGTCCAGGTTACACACCTTATACCATTTCTCTGCCCAATTTTCCAACTGATCCTGATTGTGCTGTATTCTTTGACAACCTTCCTCATTATCCACAACGCCAACAAATTTTGTATATTCTGCACGTTTCCCAATCAGATCACCTACATTTTTATCTAAATAATACATATTATTTATCTATATTACAAACAGAGGTACCAGCAATGATCCTTGCAAAACACCCCTCCACAAGTACACCTTATCTTCTATGGCCAAGCCAATTCTATATCTAATTTACCAACTTGTTGTGAATTCCAAGTGATTTAATCCTCTGGACCAACCTCCTATGAAGGGATTTTGTCAAATGCTTTAGTAAACTCCAAGTAGACAACATCCAATGCCCTACCCTCATTAATAATCTTGGTCAATTGCTCAATAAACACAGTCAAAATTGAGAGACAAGATCTCTCCTGCACAAAGCCATGCTGATTATTTCTAATAAGTCCAGTCTTTTCCAAATATGAGTACAAACCAAAGATGTCTAATGTATTATGTGCAGAATATATGTGAAAACTATTGCCCAACAGGAAGGTAGAAAATTAATTGATCACACAGACATGTGTGAGCAAGTGAAAGAGACCTGAGGAAGCCACTCAACATAAATTCCCAGTCAATAAGCCAAACCAAATATTAGGTACGTGTTGAGGGCCTTTGAAAAGACCTGAATGCATCGCTGATTGGCTGTTGATTTTTAATTGTATCTGTCCTTTTAATGGGCTTGCAACAGATCTTCAAAATGGACCTTGTTTTCTATGATCTGAAGATCAGAATCCCAATCCTGTCCCCATAAAATTCCCACACTGTTCATTTTACAGAAAGTTTCCCCGGATGGCGATCAAGATCAGGGACTTGTGCTGATTTCACTCTCTTCTCATTCAGAGAAACTCAGATCAATTAAAACAGGCAATGACCATCTTCAACAAAAATGAATCTAAGTATCTCCCCTTGATATTCAATGACATTACCATGACTGAATCATCTTCAATTAACATTCTCACAATGCCATTTGTCAGAAACTGAATTAGACTAGCATATAAATAAATACCTGTTGCTACAAGAGCAGAGGTCTGGAATGCTGCAGTGATTATCTCACCTCCCAACTCCTCAAAGCCAGTCCTCCATGTGCAAAGTAGAAGTCAGGAGTGTAAGGGTGTACTCCAGTTTCCTTGATGAGTACAGCACCAAGAAAGCTCACATAGTTTGAAGGCATCAAGGAGAAAGCAGCCCACTTGATTGGCCACCCAGTGGGCACCTTGAACATTCACTCCCTCCATCACTAATGAAGTGTATACTCAAAACATTATCGTGCTCTCTCTCCATGGATGCTGTCATGTCCAGCATTTGTTGTTTTCATCACACATCATCTAGTCTTGTATCTATAATCTCTTTTTCTCCACTGTTACTCAATCACATCCTGGAAGCTTCCTTACTACAGCACTGCAAGGTGTACCTACACTGCAAGGACTGCAGAATTTGAAGAAGGCAGCTCTTACTACATTCTCAGGGGCAACAGAGCTGGACCACAAATGTTGATCCTGCTGGAAATGCCCACATATGAACTTAGATCATAGGGACAGGAGTAGGCCATTAAGCCCCTTGAGCATTTTCTGCCATTCAATATCATCATTGCTAACCTGTGGACAACTCCATATACCTTCCTTTTGCCCCTTACCCTTAAAACTTTCGCTTAACAAAAATTATCTTCCTCAAATTTAAAATTAGCAACTGATCTCGCATTCACTGTTGTTTGTAGAACAGCGTTCTAAATATCACACACCGTTTGTGTGCAGAAGTGCTTCCCAACCTCTCACCTGAACAGTCTGGCCATAATTTTTAGAGTATGTCTCCAATCCAACAAGTGAATAAGTGAAGTCTCATTGTTGTCCATAGATGAATAAGGGACCCTCCATGTCTGGTAGATTCATGTCACAGCTCATTAGTCTCATCATTTAATTGCACAAATGATGGAGTTCATGTTAGCCAGGGAATGTACACATGGCTTCTTTCATTCTGTGTTCAGTCATTTCAGAAACACTGAGCAACAAACCCAATAACTCACAATGGAGATTCCAAACACTCACCTCAGCCTCAATCCAAGTCTTTTCCTCAGAAACAAACTTGTAGCAATAACCATAATAAGTGATGCCATCAAAACAATCCCCTTTGCCTGTGAGACCACGTTTCTCAAGGTCCTGATCCATATGTGTCAAATTCTGCACGGTCAGATGATCAGCTGCAGATTAAAACAAACCGCAATAATCTCATCATCCACAGTTCATTTCCCCTTCATGGGGCTACAAACTGATGAGCACGTGGTCAATGGGGCCTGCCTCAGTGTGGGACTTCTGAACTGACTGCACTGTTTGTTTACATGGAAATATAGAGAAAGTTCAGCACAGAAACATGCTGTTTGGTCCAATTAGTCAAAGACTGTGTTTATTTCCTGCAGGAGTGTCTCTCCTTTCTGGTTATTTTGTCCAACACTACAACCAAATCACTTCATTCCCTTCTGCTTGTCTACTTTCCTCTCAATGGGGCTATACAATCTGCCTCTAGCACACCATATAATGGCAAGTTTCAGAGTCTCAACACTCTGGAGGAGGTCATTTCTCTTGAATTCCTTAATTCATTTGTTGGTACTGAGCTTATATTTTATAAAACCATCTAAAATATCATCAACGTTACACCAGATTTTCACACTTCTTTTGCCTTTCATGGTTAATCTCAGACTCTCCCTTCCTCAATATCTCTATTTCTGAGGTTATGCTGTCAATGGCAGAACTGGAGAAATGCACCAGCTCCCACACATACCTTCATTACACTTATTCCCATGTCACATTCTGTAAGGAGTCTGTTCCATGCAGTTCCTCAGTCTGTGCTGTTCTGATGATGCCACTGATGATACCAGTGTTTCTGATATCTCCCCTGTTTCTTCCCAGAATGAGAGCGCACTCCACCATGATTGGCAATCCCTTCAACTGTCCCATTTCCCACACTTCGCGAATTCCTTCTGTTCCTTCCATGAATAATGTTAGAGCTCCCCTTTACCTTATCTTCCACCTCTCAGACCACCATACTGTCCACATTATCACCTAATATTTCTGACGCCTCATTCATCCCCATCCCCATTCAGCATTTGAAGGGATTGTAAGACCCTGGTCAGTTCTTCAAACACTTGACACTTGGCCACAATCGGTACTTATGAGGACTCATTCTCTGTCTCCTCACAGACAGCGCTCTTCCTACACCACACTTCACCATCAGATCAAGAGAAAGCTGTACAGGTGTTCCCCGTCCCCCTTGTGTTAGGGTGTGTCTGACCCACACTATAGTGCAGTGAGTGTGAACTGCAGTGTCTCAGGCAACAGACACTTCCTGCAGGTCGACTCATACCGTTCAGTCTGACTGCACCAAATTCCCAGCCTGTCTCGTCCTGATACACCTCCTGCACTAGAATTTACATCTTGATGTTTTGTTTGCGATGATGGATTTTTAGAGACAAGAGAATCCATTTACCTGCCACATTACTGACAAGCAATGCACTCAGCAGCAAAACTCCAATCAGCTTCATGCCTGAGGTGAAGATCCTCTCCTCAAATCTGAAATACAAAAAGAACGCAACATTAACATGAATACATTAGAATAAAGGTGGGAATTTCCCACTCCGATTGTTACCTCTCTCTTTCCCAGATATCAAATATGATGGGGTTTCTGTTGCTGCTGCCAATATATATCGTCAACTGTGAAGAGCATGGAACCATTGAATCAAATCTGATTGGCCTGACCATTAATGATATCAACGTTATTGTCAAATAATCAGTGGCTGACAGCCAACGGGAGGCTCTCGAACATATTCACATACAGGATATTCAAATATGTTCAAAATATTTGATGTGCTGCACCTAAGAATTTATGCTGTGGCATTGAGTGCTGAGTGAGAGCTGGAATTGGCAGTCACTTTTCCCAAAGCCTACTTCAGAAAGTACGATTTAATAAATGTCATCAATGCCAACAATTAGGAGATAATAGGAAGAAGGATCTAGACCCGAAACATCAGCTTTCCTGCTCCTCTGATGCTGCCTGGCCTGCTGTGTTCATCCAGCCCAACAATTAGGATCTGCATATTATTGTAATGAGATGAAGTTCCCAGAAAAAGGGGAGAGTACTGACAAAACTTGAGAACTTGACTTCAATTTAGTTTTCAAGCTAATGGAAAGAAATTTGGGATGTTTTATCAAATTAAAAGTGCATGTCAATGTCAGTCGTTGTTGTTTCATTCTCTTTCCTACAATCTCTTTGAGTTAGTGGTTTTAAATTTCTTGGCTTGTTCTATTTCCCCTTGTATAAATGAACCATATTAACTGCGCCCCTGTCCTGTGGCAGTATGATGTTTTCTAAAGAGTTACATGTAACCATGCCTCTGCTCTCTTTTCCCAAACTCCATTCAATAGGCACCAGTGCCACAGAGCCTGACCAGGTCTTTATTCTCTTTAAGTTTTATTAGTTAATGATAAACTCTGTTTCCCATTCTGTTTTAAATTTTTTTTAAACTTAGATCTTAGCGTGAGCATGTGGAAAGCTTCAGCAAAGATTGTGGAGAGACAAATGGACAAATTTGGATCCGCTTTGTGTTACTCGATAGTTATGAGTGTTTGTCAAAGATCTTACTTGTCACTGACAAGGAGACAAACCAAGATGGATCTTTACCCGTCATCATTAACATCAACCGATTTGGACATGGTCTCTGAATCTCACCTCTCTCAGCCCCTCGAGCCTGTACCATTGCTCAGTTGGATCCGAGCTGATTTGTGTCTTAACTCCATTTTGGTTCCATGTTCCCAGTCATTCAGATTTTCCATTGGAATTTTCCATTCAGCCCAGCCTCAACAGCATTTGGGGACCGAGTTCTAGATTTCTACTATCCTTTATATGAGACAGAGCCATATGATATCACCTTAAATGGTAATGACCTAATTTAAAGATTTTCCCTCTGTCCTGTCAAGTTCAAGAAGCAAAATAATTTCTTCAAATCAGCTCATTGCCTGAATTCGGTGAAGCCTGAACCATTTCTTACTCAGAAACAATCTACATTACTATCTGGACTAACTCCTTTTAGATAAAGTCAGAAGTCTCACAACACCAGGTTATTGTCCAACAGGTTGATTTAAAATCAAATGTTTTTGGAGCGTTGCTCGCTCATCAGGCTCCTTCACCTGATGAAGGAGCAGTGCTCAAAAAGCTTGTGATTAAATAAGCCTGTTGGATTATAACCTGCTGTTGTGAGACTTCTGACTTTGTCCACTCTAATCCAACCGTGGCATCTCCACATCATGGCTCCTTTGGTTCAGAGATGTTATGACACGTCTCTGGGCTAATTGGTGCTTAAATGCCAAGAAGTAGGGGCATAACCACTGCACTGCATGCTCAGTTTGGCCGTTTTAATCATTTTCAATCTAAGAACCATCTGCTGAATCTGTGCTGTACCCTTATTATGGTCAATATAATAGCCCTGCAGTGCACTGACCAGAACTGAGTGCAGCGTTTTTACTGTGTTAGAAAATCTTAAAATCAATTAGTGTTCAGAAGGGTCTAGGCCCGAAACGTCAGCCTTCCTGCTCCTCTGATGCTGCTTGGCCTGCTGTGTTCATCCAGCTCTACACCTTGTTATCTCAGTGTTCAGAAGGAGGCCATTTGGCCCTTTATCTGTGCTAATGCTGAGAAAGAACTCTCAATTTGGTCCTCTGCTCTGCCTCTTCACCACATTTCCACTTTAAGTATTTGTTCAATACCTTTGGAAAGTTGTTCGTAAATATACTTTGATGACCCTGTTAAACTTTGTGTTGTAGATAAAGTAAAGAACTGCACTAAAACATTGTTTCTCTGGTTCTTCTGTTAATTAATGTAAATGTGCCTCTACCCACTTGCTGATGAATTTGAATACCTCAATTCAATCTGACCTTCACCTACTCTGCCCTAAGAAGAACTTTATAGTAAATCTGCAGATCTGGAAGGGAGGGGAATCAATAACATAGGATTCTCACGGTTTCCTTGAAGGAGTGTGGAGGGACGCTCCTGTTCCTCCTGGTCAGTAGCTTTAAACATTACTCGATTCTCAATCATTTTCTGAGTCATCTGTGTCCAGGATCTTCACTGCTCTGAGCTTCAGCTGCAGTATTTATGATTGTGCGAACCCATGACCCACAGTGGGCAGGTTCTAATCACATTACATTACTGGGGATCAATGACTCTGTTTAAACTAGGTTCCCTGTTCCTGTGGGATGGGTGGCCATCCAGTACCCAATTTCAGTTAGATTCAATAGTGGGGCAAGTGTTGAGGTGGTGTGTAGACACAGTGCGAAAGTGAAATGAAATACTGCCACCATGTCAAATCTTTGTACCCATGTAGACCATTGGAAACTGGTGATGCCAACAGTTAAACACGCCACCTATAATTCAAACACAGGCAGCCCCATGAGGCGGTCTTATCACGCAATGAAAGCAAAAGACATGCATCCTGTGTGTTTATGAAACATGATTTGGCAAAGTGCCCTCGATCTTTCATCGAGAAGTTATTCAAAGTTAAATGGGAGATTGTTTTACTCAATCAACAAGGAAGTTGGAACATATTTCTGTTCAGCAGAAAACATTGTGTAGTAAATAAAAAATTCTTGACCTAAGACCGCAGGTACTGGTAATACAATGGATATCTTTTTATGGATATTATCTGCTCCACTGTCACACTGATATGTTCCAGGAAAATGAAGTATTATTTATATTTATACTGTAAACATTGGTGTATTCACACATCAGCAGGTATAAACTTCAAATAAAAGTCTGTTTTTTCAAATTTTCACATGTTTCACTTAACCCTTTTGACATCTTATCAGAATGAGAGCATTACACTTTACAAGAGAAATAACTATTGTTTAATCAGATCAATAAAAGAAAGACATGAACTTTCATAAACTTAAGATTCCCAAATACTTGACAGCCAATGTTTCTCTCATTTCATTTGTTTGTAACAAAAAATAAATCATTTCAAATCGACCTCAGATTTTCAGTCCAAACCAACTGATGGAACAATCTGAATCGCTTGAGGTTGTATGTCAAATTCCTTTGAGGAAAGTGTCCAGTGATGAGTTCCAGGGTCTGATTAGGAAATCTGCAGACTCATGACAATACTTTCCTTTTCCATCATAGAGTCATAAAGCATGTAAACAAGCCCTTCGGTCCAACCAGTCCGTGCCGATTGTGATCCTAAACTAAAATGGTCCCACCTGCCTGCTCCAATTCCATATCCCTCCAAACCTTGCCTATTCAGGTGCTTATGAAAGTGTCTTTTAAACATTGTAACTGTGCCCACATCCACCACTTTGTCAGGAAGTTCATTCCACATGCGAACCACCCTGTGTAAAAATATTGTCTCTCATATCTTTTTTAAATCTTCCTCCTCTCACCTTAAAAATATGCCCTCTAGATTTGAAATCTCCAATCCTAGGGAATAGATACCTACCATTAACGCTATTTATACCCCTCATGATTTTATAAACCCCTATAAAGGTCACCTTTCAACCTCCTACGCTCCAGTGAAAAAAAGTCCCAGCCTTTCTTTATAGCTCAAACCTTCCATACCCGGCAACATCCTGGTAAATATTTTCCGAACTCTCTCCAGCTTAATAATATCCTTCCCATAACAAGGTGACCAGAACTGGACACAATACTTCAGAAGAAGCCTCACCAATGTTCTGTACAACCTCAACATGACGTCCCAACTCCTGTACTCAAAGGTCTGAGCAATGAAGGCAAGCGTGCTAAATGCCTTCTTAATCTCTCTGTCTATGTGTGACACAAAATTCAAAGAATTATGCACCTGCCATCATAGGTCCCTCTGTTCTACAACACTACCCAAAGCCCTACCATTAATTGTATAAGTCCTTGTATAAGATGGGTTGAAGGGCTAAATGTTAATGATGATATTTGACAGCTGCATGAGAAAATAGGTCGTATGGGATGGGCTGCATGACCTTGGATGAGTCCTGTGAACATTCCCGTACGTGCCGCAGACAGCATGATTAAAAAACATGTTTTCTGTACGACCCAGCAGTTTTGTCTATTGTATCTGCTGTTTTCAGTATTGGTTGTTTGTGATACTGTATAAGAGAGAGAGAGAGTTTCATTCCAAGCTGCTACTGCTGCTATTGGACTTCATTTCGGCTTGGAATAGTGAACAGTGCCAGGAATGAACCTACACCTCCAGACCAGCCATCGATTGAGGTGTCCCCAACAGACAGAAGAAAGTGAGACCCTACTGCTTTTTCCAGAAAAGCGTGAGACACTTTGCTTTATTTTACTTTTCTTTTCCATGTATTATTACCACTATAATCAGTTATTATTGCCATTATAATCATTTATTATTGCTTAATAAACATTCATATTTAAGCAAATTGCTGTTGTTGAGCCTTCTGTTAATTATATTTACCGAATCTGAAAACAACCGCTTGGATACACTGTGTGGTAATAATACATGGAAAAGAAACGTAAAAAAAGCAAAGTGTCTCACGCTTTTCTGGAAAAAGCAGTCCTGCCCCTGTTTGTTGGACCAAAATGCATTTATCAAAATTGAATTCCATCTGCCATTTTTCAGCCCATTGATCCATTTGATAAAGATCCCTTTGTAATCTTAGAAAACCCTCTTCACTGTCTATTATGCCACCTCTGTTAGTGCCATTCACAACTTACTAACCATAACAGCTATCAGAATCTTCACTGCTGTCAGCTTCAGCTGCAGTATTTATGATTGTGTGGACCCAAGACCCACAGTGGGCATGTTCTAATTACATTACATTGCTAGAAATCAATGATTCCGTTTAAACTAGGTTCCCTGTTCCTGTGGGATGGGTGGCCGTCCAGTACCCAATTTCAGTCAGATTCAATCGTGGGGAAAGTGTTAAGGTGATGTGTAAACACAGCGCGAATGTGAAATGAAACACTGCCACCGTGTCAAATCTCTGCACCATTGGAAACTGGTGATGCCAACAGTTAAACATGCCCCCTGCAGCTCATACACATCCAGCCCCAAGAAATGGTCTTATCACGCAGTGAAACACAAAATATTTAGCATGTGTGTTTATAAAAGAAAATTTGGCAAAGTGCTCTAGATCTTAAATTGAGAAGCTATTCCAAGTTACACAGTAGATTGAGCAAAACAATCAATGAGGAAGTTGGAACATCATTCTGGAATATGCCAGAGATAGTAGGAACTGCAGATGCTGGAGAATCCGAGACAACAAGGTGCAGAGCTGGATGAACACAGCAGGCCAAGCAGCATCATAGGAGCAGGAAGGCTGACGTTTC